ATTTAATAAAAATTTAGGGAGCATTATAAATAGTTATGTTTTTAAAAGAAAAAAAATACTATTGTTATAAATAACACATTTAATTTAACTAAACTATGCATGCTTATTTAAATATATTTACACATGGCTTGTGTATATCGTATATATTATTCATACCTTCGGTGTATAGGACGCAAGCAGATTTTAACATCAAATTTTGAGGTAAAAAGTGCGTCTTATACACCGAAAAATACGGTAAGTTGGTGAAGTGTAAATTTTAGCAATTTTATTTTAGTCAGTACGCATTTGAATTAGGCTTATGACTTCAATTAACATCTGGTTATTTATTATGACTATTATTAATTTATCTTACTTGAATTAACTTTACTTATCATTCATAAGAGAGTACTGTCTGTTTGGATGTATGGATGTTGCTTTGTTACTTAAAATTCTAAATTAGACCACATCGAAATTATAAAACATACTTCGGAGTGAACACTGACTTATGTCTCCCGATGGGAGAGCGGTAAGTCTATGGACTTACAAAGCAAAAATCCTGGGTTCGATTCCCCGCGGAAGAAACAGCAGATAGCCCAATATAGCTTTGCTCTGAAACAAACAGACACTGAATCATTGTCATGTTAAGCAGAAATTGACGTTTTATTCATAAACTAATTTTCTTTTTCACCTTCCGGGAAATTGTAGTATTAAATGTTTGTCTTTTTTCACTTACCGGATATATGGATCAGCTAGAAAATTCGCATTAACTACATGGTCCGTGATTACGAATAAAACCTGTTCCAACCAAAATCTCAAAGGTCATGAGCTCTGGGCTTCAGAGTTAGAGTGGACCTGTTATGTTCATTGCTTTGATGCAAAAAAACTGTTACTCAATAGAACTTTATGTAAATTGTATTTTATACAATCAAAAGGTGTACACTTCTTCTAAATCTTTATTCAGAGTTGTAAAAATGCCTTACATGTTCGACTTATTGGTGTGGTTACGTCATTCGTCATTGTAGTCTTTGATAAAATTTGATTCAAATGCTAGAATTTTCTCGAAACCTTCAGGCTATAAAAGTCAGTTTTTGCCACCTGGGTACACAATTGTAAAATAATTAGTAATTGGAGAGTTTGAATAACTCGTAAGATATTAAATTCATTAATATCTCAAACCTTTAGGCCTAGTTTTCTGTGATTCTACAATACAGTCTTAGTTCCACCTGAAAGTAGAGCGGGACGGGCCCGAATTTATATTACGATAGTTCTGTTGCCATGGTAGAAGTGGAACTTCAGCAAAGACATCATGTTGGAATTAGGAACAGTTCGTCAAGGATGTGTAAATATTCGATCTGTATGTATAAACTAACAAGTCATGCTTTATTTCCAGAAGAATAATGTAATATAACAATGTAATTAACTGGATCAAAACTAGTTCAAAACAGGTTTTCGTTAAAATGGCACATATCTGACTGAAATATTAAATACGAAGGAAAAGGTCACATCCTGTGAAGTTTAAAGTACTTTGATTGGCATGTTTAAGTTGTTCCCTCGGGCTCTCAGAATACATGTGTCCTTCTGTTTCATACTGTAATCGTAAAAAGTGGTTACTGTTTAGGCGTCCTTCCATGACCGTTTTTATGGAAATTCTAAGGGTAGCCTTTTCTAACAATTCTTTTGGCAGCATTTACTCGAACCTAACAATTTAACCAAATTATTTACTTCCTGTCCAGATTGATCCAAAGATAGGATTTGGGGAGAGGAGTTATTTTATTGATTCAGATATATAGATTACATGAGGGTAATAACATAGAACCTAGATTCTATAGCTCAGAACGTTCCCCGTTGTGTTCTAATCTTGAAGGGTTTCTGTCTTTGTATTCGAGTCCAGCAGATCTGTCTTTTCGAGCAAGTTTATCATCGCTTATATGTCTGTTTCCATCTATTCAGCTGTCTTATTTTTTATGACTAAAGGATTTGAATAATTAATAGTCTTACAAATTAGCATCTCTAGTATTAAGTTCGTGTTTAACGTGATTATAAAACAATGTTAAATGTACAAATATTTATTTTTCTTCCTCGGATCTGTCTTGCAAAGTGTGCGACATGAGAGTTTTATGGCACATTGTCGGATCTTGCGCTTATAATTTTTTATCTTGAACTTTTCAGCTTGTTACCAAAGCTGGTTGAGGATTGAGACTCGGCTGGAAGTCATATCACTCTCTTGAAGGATGTGCAATTTGCGAATATGGATGTGCAGGTTGCATGTAAAGAAATGATGCCAGCCATATAATAGAGAACTGTTTTTGCCACTAGCTTTCGCGAGCCATTATTTGACACAAACCAATTTCCATTGGTAGTTTCAAAACTAATGTATTGTTGTAAATCTGATTTCAAAGAACTAATATACTTCTGTGAATCCAATTTCAAAACATTAATGTAGTGTTTCAAACCTGGTTTTAAAAAACAATGAATCCATTTAAAAAACAACAACTTAGTATTGTAAACTTAATTTCAAAAAGGGTTTCGTAGTGCCGTGAATCCGGTTTCACAAAAAAAAGCAAAACTAGCGTGTTTTGAACTTACTTCATTAATTACTCTTTTTGTTTTTCAACGTTAGAAACCGGGTTTCGATACCCGTGGTGGGCAGATCACAGATAGCCCATTGTGTAGCTTTATACTCAACTTCAAAAAACAAACTTTTTGTTTTTATAATACTAATAAATAATGATTCACAGGAGGATTGTTTTCCACAAAAGACTAAAACTAAAAGTTACTAGGCCTAGATTCTTGGCATCAATGCCACTACATTTTGTGTTTGTTGATTGCAAGTTTTTCCTTATTCATTCTGGGAATGTTCAGAGATGTGTTTGTTCAAATGTTGATTTCTTCTGCCATTATTCGAAATTTTGTATTGGCTACAGATTTAAGAGCAAACCATATTTAAATTATGTTGTTTTCAGATTTTGGTCTTGAAGTTTGTTTGTTTGTTTTTGAATTTCGCGCAAAGCTACATGAGGGCTATCTGCGCTAGCCGTCCCTAATTTAGCAGTGTAAGACTAGAGGGAAGGCAGCTAGTCATCACCACCCACCGCCAACTCTTGGGCTACTCTTTTACCAACGAATAGTGGGATTGACCGTCACATTATAACGCCCCCAGGGCGAGCATGTTTGGTGGGACGGGGATTCGAACCCGCGAACCCCAGATTGCGAGTCGAGAGCCTTATCCACCTGGCCATGCCGGGCCCTTGAAGTTTGAAAGAAATTTTCAGCCGAAAACCTATTCAAAAAAATAACAAATGAAATTTGTGACAACAATCATGAACAATGTCTCTGATTTGGTTTCTTAAGAATGAATATTGACATTGGTAAAACTTTCAGTGAAGTGGTATAAATAATGTATTTTGATTATGAACCTAGTTTTTAAAGTACTAATGTAGTTCAGGTGGATTTATTGAAATAAGACATGTCATAATTACATAATGTAGTTTGTACTTGGGGCTGTAGTATTTTGAAGCAATGGTGTAATATAGAATTGCCAAAGTTTTTTTGTTTGTTTTTTCACAAAGCTCCAAATGTCCAGTGGAAACAAAATAAGGAACGGCAGACTTGGTAGATGTTTACCGGTATTTCGATGTAGCTGAATGATATGACTTGTTGTTTTTTTTCGGCTTGACCGGTAGCGACCTAGTGGATAGCGTACCGGGCTGTGAACCCGAGGGTCAAACAGCAGTGATCACATCCCACTATTCGATTACAATAGTCCAATAGTTGGCAGTGGGTGATTTTTATCAGCTGCATTCTCTTTAGTCTATCAGTTCAAAATTAGGGACGGATAGCTCTGATATAGGTTTGCGCTAATATCCAAAACAAACGCTTTTCTCAGTATTAAAAACGAAACGTTTCATGATGTATGTGACGTACACTAGTTCAAGGCACAGACGTGGCAAGCATACCTTAAAATAGGTCACATGACACGCTATTGAAGACTTGATACAATGGAATAAAAAACAAAAGATAGAACTTAACGCTCTGGCGCTTGACATTTTTCGTGTTCACAGTGTTTATGTGCCCTGATTTTTCTCATAAGAATGAAAACGTTTCTCTCACACCTTGACTTCGTTATTTCCTTGTTATTATTTTCTGATCTGTGTAATGTAAAATAATGTAATAAAACTATACTCGTGACGGTTGCATTGTTTACATTGTGAATTCCTACTTGGTTCGTTCAGCTTCTTAAGAAAGACGTATGTAAACTAATGTTCGTGTAGTTTTTGTAACTTGGATATACACATGTGACAATGCGTTGTAGGAAGCTATACCTGTTACCACGATAAATAAATAGACAAACAAACAACTTTCTAAATAGAACAGGAAGAAAGGCTTATCGTTTATAACTGTGTTTTGTCTGAATTGAAAGTATAGTATCTTACTGAAAATTTTGACAATATGAATTGAAAGTTATTATCCTTCTTTCTTTTCTTTGTCAAATGTGTTCAGTAATGTGGTGTTTTAACATGCTCTTTTAAGATAATTTTCTAGTATAAACGACTTTTTACACTCTATAAATGAGGTTTATTTGTGCTTAGGCTCGATTTCCTGTATTTTCTTACAGGAAATTAGAACTTAGTGCTTTAATTTAAATATGATACTCTCCTTAATTTGCCTTTTTATTGGTACTTTGAGAAGTAAAATGCATTCGCTGGGATAGATGACTTCAGCTAAGAAGATTTTCTCTTTTGATAAAATAGTTGTGTAACTTGAGAATGTACATAGTTGGAACAAATTGTTTTTATAGACATAAACATGTGGTGAATTGTATATTTTATGATGGTCCCACAATCTTTATGCTCATACAAAAACTTGTAATCCTTCTGTCTGTTTACCTTTCATCAGTTCAAATATTTCTGTCTTTTTGTATTTCTTGAGCTTTATGTTTTTCTACTATTTTCACCACAACATTACACTTGAGTGAAATGAGTACCAGTTTTAATCGGCCACAATGTTCGATTACTAGGTGGAAAGACTGACCCAGTATGAACGGTTTTTGTCCCAGCTTGCAGCCAAGACCGAAGACACCCACCCTGACCACGGTGACCGAAAGAGAGCAGCCGAAAAAGCTAAAAACGTAAGATTACTAAAATTTTCAAATCTAAACTGGTGGTTCAGTAGTATTTAGGTTTCGATACTCGCGGTATTCCAAACACAAAATCCCCACTGTGTAATTTTGCGCTTAACAACAAGCAAACAAAATCTAAAAATATCAATTTTCTCCAAATATGTCGGACATACTTTTTATTTCTTTTTTTTTAAGAATAGGCCTAATATGGAAAACTGTATTCTCGAAGATTATCACGTTCCCGCCATTATTTCGTTTTAATTACTATTTTTACACATTCAGATAATAATTTAAGGGAAGTGTTATGTCACATTTAAATTTAATAATTTGTTTCTAACCCAAAATAATGTAAACTTCCCAAACGTTTGTGCTCACAAAACATCTAAAAACTAAAGTTTCAGAAAGTTCATAGTAAAATTAAATATTACGCGAGTTAGCCTTGTCAGTATATTTTTTGTCCGTTGTCAGCATATTACCACGTCGCCACCTGGTATTTCATTATCGCTTTATTCTTGAACTTCATGACAAAATGATTTTATCTACTAGACCATAAATAATGTTTCTTGACGTTTTGGCTCATTTTTCCTTTTTAAATAAGTATGAAAACGTAATTACTTTACTCGATCATTTATTAAAAGGCGTTAAACTTTAAACTGAGCAATGAACTAACCAAGACAAGATCATGTTTATTATTGAAACAACAATGGAAACTTGTCGAACAGGTAATTTGGTATGGTAACAAATAAACATGAGGACATTCGAGTGTTCCTGGAGCAGTAAGAAAGAAACGGATTATAGATTCTTGACAATGAATATTCCACCCTCTATCTAAATGGCCTGGCATGGCCTGATGGTTTCGGACGCTCGACTTACAATCTTCTTACAGCGAGTTCGACTCCCGTCACCATAACTCTCGTCCTTTCAGCCATGATGGCGTTATAATGTAACGGCCAATCACACTTTTCACGGAAAAGAGTATACCAAGAGTGGGCGGTAGGTGGTGTTGACTAGCTGCCTTCCCTCTAGTCTACCACTTCTAAATAAGGGACAGCTAGCATGAATAGCCCTCGAATAGCTTTGCACGAAATTCCAAAATCAAACTGTCTGAATATTCACAGCATACTTACAATGAGTAGTTTTATAAATCTCCCTCCCCACGAGTCTCTTAGAATTTAGCTACCGTAAGTTATACTTGAATTTAGTCCTAACCGCTATGTAGTAGACTATTTGGTCGTTTTACGTGTTAGAGCTTATAATGTTTTTATGTTTCTAGCTATCGTATCGTAATCACTTAGAATAAATTATGTAACATTAAATATTATCGTGCTTTCCCAAATTATCTGTAAAGAGGTTTGGTTTCAATAAACATAACAAACTGTGTTATTTTACCATAAAATTATTTCTGAGATTAAATCTTGAACACATTTAACCATATAGTGTTCTGAATACAGCAGAAGTACAGTTAAAAAAAAAAACGCATTCGAACGTAATAATTGTGATAGATTCTTATAATCTCATTTTCACAGCATCGAAAGATAATATTATGTTGAAATTCTGTTTCCTTTTTTTCATTTATTTTTTACTCTTAACCCTTAGATGCTAAAAAGGGGAGAACAATACGTTGAGACATCGGATTTAGAGAAGATCCAAGAGCTCTTTCCAAACGACGACTTAAATTTATTCGAGGATGACCCCTTTTTTCCGGTGAGTCAACTACTTGGAATGCTTCGTAAGTAAAAAAAAAATAATGTAACGTAAAGTTTTCATTATAAAATACACGAGCAGATAAATACCTTGGATGTAGAATGTAAGACTTTGTACTGCTTAACCCCAAATTACCGACTTGTTATTTTATACTATTCACTACTAGTAAAAGGGTCCATATACTACAGAAATGGTGTGTTTTGTCTGTCACAATATTCAGTGTAGACGAAATCACTAATTTTCTATGTGAAGTACAATAGGAAGCCCAATAATAATTAGTGAGATTAATTACAATATTGGTGGTACTTCTGTTTACATTTTTATTGGACTTGTACGTCACTAGGGATCCCGAAATCAACGGTTATGGTCCCACAAGCAAATTATGGATCAATAGTTTAGAAAAATGAACTTTAAAAGCCATCAGTAATTCTAGGTTTTAAACTATTTTTTTTAACACCGATAGGGGGACAGCGCTTTCGTAGTTTTTTTTTTTTGTGTATGTCGTACAACGTGTCTAGATATTTATCCAATTTCTGATAGTACCGAACTGGGGTCTTTATATACACTGAGTGGTCACAAGTAAATATACACCTAATTTTTCGTCATTTAACTGATTTATGCTTACTAATTTGTGTTCACAGAGCACTA